TTTTCCTTTTTTATAAATAAGGGAAATAAATTTCTCTACATTTTCTGAAACTTTTGTCAATCTTATTTCAAAATCCAAGGATCTGATCCATTACACTGACAGACAAGAGAACTAATAAATAAACTCATTTTCCTAGTTCATGCATCATTTCATAATGCAAATTATTTGCAACATCAGTACTCACACGACACAAAAATTTCTTTCACCTACTATTGGCCATCAGATAAAACAGACAATGCTAAACAGCTCTCAGAGATGAAGCAACTACTTGTTATAGCTAAGCACTGTCCGTTCAACCACATGATGAGAATGAGACATAGGATTGGAAAGAGGCAGAGAACAGAAAGCCAAATGAAGATTTGGATACTAGGGCAACATGAAAGCATTTGCAATACATGCTCACAGGACTAGGATTTGACCCAAAAAAATAGGGGAGAACCAAGTTAGGAGCACAATTAATAAACACAAACCAAGCATTGATATTTTACATGCAACATATTCTTAAATAAGTGTTGGTTATTGATGTTTTAGAATGTTGGGGGGGGGGGAGACTACTTAAAAAAGTTGATTTGCTCTCAATGTGCGGTACTTGATGCTTGCACTGAGAAGCTAATTAGTACCTGATGGTAGACAAAATTGCACTTCCCTACTTTTGCATACAAAGAAAATAAAAGTATGAAAAACTAAAGATGCTCTTGATGAAAATATGTTGCCCCTTAATTGGTTGAAAGAGTTGTGGTGGCCGGTGGGGGATGTGGTGTCAAGAACATTTAACTTATATCCCATATGATTTCAAAACCTCCCCTGATAACATGGGCATTAAAAGAGTGGACTGAAACAAACTGCTAAATCTGAAACATTCTCAGTATATATATATATATAACAAACATGAACCATACCTGAATTGCATTGTTCATGGAGCTCAAAATCAGAAATATATATACGAATATATAATAAATATGATCCATACCTGAATTGCATCATTCATGGAGCTTAAAGCCAGAAATTCAACGAAACCAAAACAGTATCCCTGTTGCTGAAGAAATAGAATGTAGAAATATCAACAAATGAATGTTAGTGAAATAGAATGTAATATATTATTCATTCAATGTGCCAACAACCAACCTTATTGTTTCTAACTTGGACACCCCCTTGCTTGATGGGTCCAAATTTCTTAAACTCCTGCTCCAGCTGTGCAGGCGTCACATTGAAGGGCAAGTTCTTTATGTAAATGGAATGTCCCTCAACTGTTAGTTAAACAGAGTTAATACGCAGTTATCCATACTGAAATCATATAAGATGATTTCAGATCACATAGCCTAATTTTGTAAACAACACAAACACATGAGATACCTTCCTCAGGAATATCGTTACTCTCAGTGCCATCAATGCTAGAAGGTGCGGATGCTTCTGGAGGAGTAGGTGCTGGAGACACAAGAGGCTGGCTCTCAGTTTCCCGGGGCATCACTCTAGAGGCATTAGTTGGGACATAGACCCTAGTTGGTCCTGAACTCCCTTTTGGTACTTTTACCTATAACAATAACTAAGAAACTTCAGCAAGCAACAAAATGCAAAAACTGGAAAGTAGATATTCATGTATAAACTCACAATTGATGCATAAGATTTCTTTGATGTATCTTCTTGGGCTGAAGAAGTTGATTCAACAACTACTGGAATATCATTACTATGAGAATGAGATTGGGATACCGAATGAGCCTCTTGTTCATTGACCAATTGTCTTTCCTTGTCTGATGGCTCAGCAGCTTGCTCAACAACATTTTGATTCTCTTCCACAAGAGCAGTTGCTGCATCTGTTGGAGAAGGATCCACACCTTGAGTAGGCTCTGCAAACAAAAATTAAAATGAATATTGAAAGAAAATCCAACAAAACACATGGAAAAGAAAAAAGAAAATAATAGAAGTATACCATGTTCTGCTGCAGAAGGCACTCTAGGAGCATCATGAACGCCATTAACTTTCTGATTATCCAAGGATTCACCATCCTCTACAAACCTAAATACATCATTTAGAACAAAGTACCCATTATCCTGGGGAGCCAAGAAAAAGGATTGTGCAAATTTTCTCTTCAAGTTATCCTTTCCCGTTAGACATCCAGTTACGAGCACAGTTACCCCTTCCTTGTAAGACTTCTGAGCATCAGCAGTATTAATCTCAGCCTTATAATTTTGTAGTCCAAGGAAAGAATCTTTTCATTAATACCCTGTTCAAGAAAAATGTTATTGGAATGCCTTTGCCCCAGATGATAGTATAAAACTGACGGCAATTATAAATTTATAACACAATATAACTACACACTTTGTTATTGGAAACTAAAAAGGATGATAATATTACAGTTCCAACTTCCAAAAATTGAAATCTTTTAAAGGGGAGGGTAGAGGGAGAGAGCTAGAGCATGCATGATGGATTTCTCATGTTTGCTAAATTGGTGTTCTACTTTCAAGCTTACCAAATGGATGTGCAATATTGTGAATCAGAGATGAATATAAAAATGACGGACCAGATGAATGAGACATTTTTTTCAGAACATTATGCCTTTTTTTAATGAAAACCAAAAGAAATTTGTAATAAGTTAAGCTCCAACTAAGATAATATTTATCAGAGAAAGTAACAATAGTAGCGAAAACAAACATCACAAATGAAGATAAAAATTCAGAGCATAACGCATATTTTATTGCCAAATTGAGATACCATTTCCTTGACATGATATTCGGAAGCATCATACCCCAAAAAGTTTAACCCCTGCAAATTTCTTGATGCAAAACCTACAGACTCAAGCACATATGCTCAATAAGTAACACCTAAATCATAGGGAAATCCATTGCCCTTTAACCATGTAGTAGGTAACAAATGAGCATCTATTAAATGCACATCATCAGTATAGAATCAAGGAAATTTAGAGTAGTTTATGACATACTGAATGTTCTCAAGAAATTTTAAAGATCAATGATCAAAACTCTTAGAACCAACTAAAAGAACAACATCGAGAACTAATAACACAAGCCAAGCAGCTTACTTGCATGGTTGTCACTGATGTCATCATACCATTGGAGTCCGGCCGGCTAAGCACGCTTGAATCATGATAGAATCTATGGGCCAACTCTGGAGAATTGTAAAGAATGTGGTAATACTGCTCAACAAAAGCATTTCCAACAACTTGGGCACTTGGAGTAGCCGTTTCCAATGCCATCTGCTGGAAGAAAATACCTTACAGCAATTTACCACCAGAATATATCTTCAAGGACAAATAAGAATGCCCCTAAGCTACAACCTCAGAGATAAAGCGTGGACTGTTTTACACACTCAGGCATCTTCAAGGTCAAATAAGAAAAGACTGTCCCTAAGGTATTGAATCAATACTATAAGAGTAGACCGCTACATTCTTCCCACAAAATAAATGCATCCAGCCAAGGATTCATATAAAAACGATAAAAAAAATAAAACAAACCTAGATCATCGAATAAAAAATAGCAGATTCCTTCGATCCAACCAACAAGTAGGTCCAGAAAAAAACCCGAAAATGAAAATGGGGAATACCCATCGAAGAAAGCCAAAAGCATTTAATGAATCAAGCAACATTTTTAGGAGACATTGATACCATAAAGTAAAGGACCTTAAAATCCCATAGCAAAAAATTAAAATTTTTAATCAAATAACAAATAAAAAACTGAACTTTATAGTAATGACTGATCCAAGAAACAACTACAAAAGAAAATAAAGCAACAAATACCCACCAAGTAAAAAAAATAACGAATGGGAGAAAGAAGAAATAAGACGATCGGAGGAAAGTACCTGAAAATGGGAGATGTTGAATGTTTTCCTTCAGAGAATAAAGAGAATTCTGTTAGAAGGCGAGGGTTTCAAGAAGCAGGGAAGGTAGCTCTTTGTTAACGGAAGGTCAGGGGAAGAGTTCGAATCGCATGAATATGTTTAAAATGAGAGTTATTTGTTGAAGGAGATGAAAATGGTACAGTAGCTTTAAGTCGTAGGGAGAGGAGAGAAAACGAAGTGTTGGAATGGAAAACCAGAAATAAGGGAAAGAGAGAGTGACGAAAGGTACTTGTGAACTGTGAGGTATTTCCTCTACCCTACTTCGTTTTTGGCATAATGTTAAAAAAGTCCCTGATGTTTAATTAAATAATTATATTGACCCTTGTTCTTTCTTTTGAAGTATTTTAATCTCAAAAGTTTTATTTTAGGATAAAAACCTCATATATTATATATGTATAGAAACTAAATTAGCTGACCCTATTCCCATATATAATGGGGTAATGAGGAGGTAGGGTAGTAGATTGCCCCCAAACGCTAGGTTGAGAGCAACTTCCGTGGAAGACCTCCGACAATTATAAATTGCCCACTGTGGGACTCGATCCCACAACCATAAGGTTAAGAGCCTTGCGCTCTACCAACTGAGCTAGACAGACAATCATCATATATGTATAGAAACTGCTAGTTCAAAAACAGTTAGAGGAATCCAAAATAGGTAACTTTTACCCTAAAATGAAATATCGAGGGACAAAATACTATAGAAAAAAAAACAAAGTGACGTTTGGTCAAACGTTAGGAGTCTTTTTACCTTAAAATGAAACGTTGAGATCAAAATACTCAATAAAAAATAAAAACCAAAATAACTATTTTGATAAATGTTGGAAGCTAATTTTAACATTATACCTTCATTTTTAGATTATTTTGTGAATTTTCTCTTTTTAAGAGAAGCGTTTAAGAACTAAAATGATAATATATAAACAAAAATTGAGGGATTAAATTGACTAAAAGATAATATAAAAAACAAAGTGAAAATCTCACTAAAGTAAAGGGCCCAAACCGCATTAAGCCTTTAAAATACATAAATCATATAATTTTGTTTAATATATGTTTGATGTTTGTATTACAATGAAATTATCACTTTGATCATTCTTCTATTTTTCTAAGTCATTTTATCCCATAAATTCATTGAATAGACTTAGGTGATGTTTGTTTTTTCAGAGGTAAAAGGTCTGCAGTATGCAGACCACATCTGCAGGCATCTGCAGCAGAAGAGGTGGACCAAAAGTCTGCAGTCTGCAAGAAGAAGACTGTTTGTTTTTTAACGTCTGCAGACTGCTAAAATAAACTGAAATATAAATAAACTGATTTTTTAAACTTAAAAGAGTTTTGCAATACTGAAATTTAAATAATTTTAGTTTTATAATATTGAAATTTAAATAATCCTACAACTACAATAATAATATTTTAAAATAAATCAATCCATATTTTAAATAAATTAATCCATATTTAAAACTATCTCCTCAGTCTTGTTTATGCGGGTATATATAGTAGGGTGACCGGTGTTAATCTTAAATTAATGATTATTGATGGTTTAGCAGGTGAGCAGATCTTACTATCAAACGATGGATTTAGTTAGTAATATAATTGACAGAAATTATTAGATGGAAGGAATTGACGGGTTACCACCAGTGAACCTTGGAATATTTTTAAAAAGCTTTGAAAACCTAGGAGTCTTTTTTAGTGTCATAATATAGGGAATTGACGAGTAATAGAATTGAAAGAAGTCGTGTGGAGGGACTGTAATTAAATATAATGTGTCTATTTTAGGATATTCAACTTTTTTAGTATTTTCATGTTTTGTTGTTTGATATATACGCTTGTTTGACAAACCATACCTCAGCATCAGTTAAGCCAGAATATGCTTGTTTTCCAAGCAGATAGTCCACATGCAAAGACCCATGAGAAGCAAATAAATCAGTAATACACACACACGTATGTACGAATGTATGTACGCATGCATGTGAAATGATGAAAATTTTACCTTGGAAAGGAATTGTTCAGGGGAGCCGAAGTCGGTTATGGACTTCTTATCAGTTGGGGTGACCATGATAGCAACATTGGTGGGGGAGTCGAAGTTGTCCTCGTATCTCAGGACTTGACCAGGGCACTCAACCTCTTTGCTCGGGTTCCATTTCGATGGTATTGACAGCTTGAACCCTTGTCCATTGTATGGTATGAACTCTGTGTTTGTTTTAGGCTTGCCAAATACATTTGCTGCAGTGCCGTCCACTCAACTCGTTATTGATTTAGAAAACTAAGTGCATTAAATGATACAAGGAGAAATAGAGTGAGTGTTACAAGGTTCACCATAGGCAGCATCAGCAGGAGAAACCTTAGAGCCAACAGCTGCGGTACCAATTAGCAGGGTGAGAGCCAACCTACGGGAGATATTCACAGCGTTGCGTCCTGAATCATCATGATCCGCCTGTTTCAGAGAATCACTGCAAACCAGGAGTTGATTTGGCTTGGCGTTTAGGCGTTGCGATGATGATCTGGTGGCGGTGGTGATGAGTGCATGGTGGTAGTGCAGGAAGCATCCGGTGGAGGCCATGGTTGCTGCTCTAATTGAACTGAAGTCTAAAGTACAGACTGAAACTGGGAACGTGAAGGGGGAATCGGGAATTTGGTAGGATATTTGATGAGGAAAATGGATTGGGTTATGGGGATTATCTCTTGTAGACGATGCCACCAACAATAAGTGGCACAAAGAGGGAGAAAGGGATACGTTGAATAAACTTGGAACTGGGAGATCTGAGTAATTCCCAGATTGTTCAAGGCTACAGACAAGAGTAGTATCATTTTGGTCCCTTCATCCAAGTTTCCTAGTAAAGCAATGCGTAGTACTATCACTTGCTCCATCCAAGTGAGTGGATCTTCAGGCATGGTAGTATGTTTTGGATCATTTTGGGAAGGGCTGGTCGATCTATCAGGCTAAGAATCACGTCGTTGAAACCATTTCTCCTGGGGACATCTTTTTTGTTCCTTGTCCCTTAGACGTGTGTGTAACACTCGTAAGTAGAAGCTAACATATTTTGTAACTTACCTTTTATTTGAAATATAAAAGCTTTTTTACTTTTTCCTCATACTTGTTGGTGTGCTTTCTTCAAGCACTAGAGTTTCAAAAATGATTTTATTTTGATGATTTGTAATCAATTTTATCATTCTCTACCAAGTTTTTTTTCCCTCAAGCAGAAGCTAATATTATTCCGAAATTACACAAATTTCTTGTACTATTACACCTCTAACTAGCAGTGAGGGACATCGAAGAATATTTCGCCTAACGACATAACTTTGCCAAGGTATTCGCAACTTGGTTTTGCTCACGTGTCACATGATGAACTCATATTTCCCAATTATTTTGTATAAGCATTTTGATTAAGTTTACTATAGCATAAAGCGTTTGATTTACCAAGGGCTACTCGACTGCTTCGTTATTCTACAATCTTCCTAAGATTTAATCTCCCAGCGTATTTTAGTGCCTCGTGGAGTGCCCACAGTTCTTTAAGATACCAAACAATTTTGGATGATTTTACCAAGTATTTTCTAAATGAGCCTACAAGTGTAATTAACTACTACATTTAGTGTTGATTGAATATAGTTCAATCAACATAATTGTTGTTACAATATGTAAAAGGATATAAATTTGATCGTATTCAATCATATATTATCATTTGATTTAAATAATTTAAACATCATATTAATATATATACTCAATCCAAAATCTTAGGGAATTAAAAGGAAAAAAGATTGATTATGATTTAATCCAAAATTTAATACGAATGGAGATTGGAGTGATATTTATGGGGAATACGTTACATGTATGATTAGTATACTACAAAAGATTTAAATTCATATATTATTTATTAGTGTGATTATATAAACTATAACATTATTTTTATGGGCAAATTATTAGTGTGATTATATAAACTATGACATCACGAAAATATCACATAATTTTTTTAAAAAAGTTGAAACACTTTTAATTTAAAAATAATTTTAAAAGTTGTAGGGAGTGATGTGATTCTCACGTACAAGTAGTAAAAGCTAAATAATTTATAGCATTTGATTCCTAAATTCTTCATTCATTTCATGTCTGTCGGTAATCAGTATTATAACCCTTCTGTCCTCTCAAACACATCACCAGCCTCTCTCTGTTTCTCTTTCCCTGGTTTGTTCTCTTTTGCATCCCTCGTCTTCCTTTTTTAATTTTATTTCTTAACAAATGGAGATATTTTCTGCAGGAACTGCAATTCTTTCATCACAGTTTTCCCTTTCTTATATTTGATTCTAGTAAAGTTCTTAGTTTTAAAGTATGGGTTTGTTTTTTTTTTCTTAGTTGTTGTTGGTTTTGTTTGGTTCTTGGATTTATCTTGCTTGCTTGAGTCCTTGCCTTGGCTGTCTTCCCTTCCTTTAACTTGGATATTTCTTAGGATCTTGTTTTTCAATCGCAGTAGCAAATTTCTGCGACTTTGAAGATACTAATTTTTTGTTTGCTTTATTTCCTTTTTCCTTTTCGTTTTATTTTGGTGAAGTTCATGTATTGAAACTCAGTTCAAATATTTCAGTATCTTTTTCACACAGAGAAAAAAGTTCTTTAATAACAATTTTATAAGAAATTATCTTATCCAGTGTCCATGGATATAATAACCATACTGGTTAGAACTTTAAATGTTTAGCTAAAAATTGAAACATGATAATTTTTCAATCATCATTTATTCTGCTTAGTCTGCTTTAATATTATCTTTAGCAATTAGCAACCATAGTTTTCTTGTAATAGGACCGACCAAGTGTTGGATTTAGGTTTCTTGAAGCTGTTCTATAGTATCATTGTGTAGTTGCTGTTTATAACAATCGAAATTGTCAACTCTTGATGGGAAATGATACATAGGTTTCCAAGGAAAGAAACATAAAGAATCACATTTTGCAGCGGTGAAAAATGAATTAATCTTATAAATATCTCATGAGGGATACAATATTCGAATCGTCTAGCTACCCCAAATTACTAGAAATTGTTTCTTATATTTCAGTTGACTGTTTATGTGTGTCTACTAACAAAAAAAAAACTTAAAAATTATGTGAGATTTTAGAATATTGATGAGTTTTCAGGGCTGTTATCTTTATTCTTGGAGAATAATTGTCTGTTCTCTTGAAGCACAAGAATAATGCCTGAGAAAATAACATCAGAGGACCTTTTGAGCAATCTGTTGGAGACCGTTGCTGATAGCGTTTCTAAGCAGAAATCTGTGTCATTTTTTGAGGAAGAGAAATCAAACTCAGTTGTATCTAGCTTCACCGGCTTTTTGGACGTGAGAGGCCTGTCCACCATATTTTGGGGGGTGGAAAATGTATGACTTTCTACTCTTTCTTGAAATTGCTGAAAACCACCTGTTTTGATAAATGTTGTTACTGTAAATTGTGAAGCTGCTGATGTTCTGCTATGGAGGAACAAGAAGATCTCGGCCAGTGTTTTAGCTGGTGCAACAGCAATACGGGTTCTATTTGAGTGGCATAATCACCATTTCTTGACCCTTCTATGCTTAGCTTTGGTTCTTGGCATGCTTGCTCAATTTGTTTGGTCAAACGCCTCAGGTTTTCTTAACAGGTAACAAAAATAGCTATACGCTTATCTGCTGTTTTTATTTCCTTTTATTCGTTGCTCTTCAAGGTTTAAGTACTATTTGTGCTGCTGATAGAATTGCGGGATTTTTATAGTAAATTACTTAATGGAAATAGGTCATCTTCTCAAGTGCCACGCCTTGTATTGCACGACGAATTATTTGTCAGCATGGTAGGTCAGCTGGTGCTGAGGTGAGCCGGGACTTACAGTTTCTGCAGGATGTTGGTGTCGAGGAAGCCTGAAACAATTTCTTGTGGTAGGTTCTTGATATTTTCCTAGTACTCTTCCCTTAACAACATATGCTTGCAGAGTAAATGTTCCTTGCTCGTCCATATAACTTTTAAAATTTCTGGCATATATTTCTAGAAAATATTCAGCAAGCTCTTAAATCATGTGTCGTTAATGCAGGAGGAAAATAAGTTGTGCTCAATTTCTTTATGCATTCTACTTATTGTGAAGTACTTTCTTATATACTTGGTCGTAAAGTTGTTATTGATTGCTAATCTTAAAAATATAAAGTGAAATATATCAATAAATGGCCATTAGTAACATTTTCCAAATGCTTGCGCCTTCAGAGACTTTATCCAAGAAAAAGTTTGAAAATCAAGTTTCAGCATATTTGGTCCAAAAGGCCGAAAAAATTGTAATGTTTTAGACTTCTAAAGAATATTGTCAACCTTGATTGCAATCACAGTATGTGGGAGAACAACATTTCTTGAATCTTCATTCCTACCATGTTTCCTCTTTCAAACTCTATTTGCAGGAGTGAATTATTAATGATCAAAATCTGTCCGGTTGCGGTAAGCTTGTGGGCTGCTGCTGTTATTGGAAGCTGGTGCAATTTTTGACTGTTTTGTACATTTGTATGAAATTTTATTAAATTTATCTTCCATTAGTAGCACATTAGTTCCATTTAAAAAAGGGGGGGGGGGAAGAGAGCATGTAATAGTCTGATGTGTGGTTGTGTGCTCTGTTACTCGAGACTTGGGTCTGACTCTGGGATATGGGTATGTGTCCAACACGGATATGTTCAATTCTTTCTTAGTTTTCCTGTATATTTGGAGGGTCCTTGGGGGTTTATATCCTTGCACCTTGTCTGAAAATGTATCGGACTCAGGTAATTTCAGGAAATTGAAGAGTAGCAGCAACACAGGTTGCCTACACCACACTTATTTAAGTTACCATCCTTTGGTTCGTCAGTTCAACTAATTTAGTGTGTATCAATGCCTGCAAACTGATTATCTAGCTGCATTTACAAGCTGATTTATCTTGGTGGACATGAACATGACCTTGTCTGATAGCTGTATGCATTGAGCAATCACTTGCCTTTTCTCTTTGTTGCATTAAAAATTTTGATCTAAAATAAGTATTGCTTCAAACATTTAGGCACGAACCAAGCGACCTCAATGGTTAAACAAATGGTTGTTATTCTTAGAGTTCGCGGCATATTTGAATTTTTTTCAAAGTGGGAATTCCAACATTAAACTTTTTATTTGTGTCAATCAAGTTATTCCATCTAATTATACAATGACAACTGGTGCAATTATGCCTATCAGACATTAGTTGATGTGAATGTACAGTTATGTGTATCTGTTGGCTCTATCAATTTTCAAGTTACAAGTTCCGCTCAGATTACCTTTTCATTCTTTAGCTTTCCGATTTATTTTCCTCTTTTTTGCTGTGTACATTCAATATTACTGACATGGACAATGTATGTATAAATAGATATATATTACTGAAGCGATTTGGTTCGACTAGTTCAACCGATTGGACCAGTTGAACTGGTTACTTTAGGGTCTCACCATTCCGACCGCTTCGGTTTTTTTAACTATCGCAAAATACACCTCTGCCTTCTTGTTTCTCAGGTTTTTTAACCATACACGTTTCTATTTTGCTTTTCAGGTTTTGTTGCAGCCCATACATTACCAGTCCTGTATGAGAGACATGACGAGCAAATAGATGGCTTTGTTTACAATATGTTTGAAAAGCTTCAAAATCACTATAAAAAGTTGGATTCTGGTGTTCTGAGCAAGATCCCCAAGGGACAGTTCAAGCTTAAGAAGCATGACTAGGTGTATTTGGTTACTCTCATTACATCTATAGAGTTCATGTAGCATACCCTCTTACAGTTGGGATCTGATATATATTCTCAAGCACTTGAATAACTGATGTTATATTTTTGTGACATTATCCGTTTGGATATTGGAAATATCTTTGCCAAGCTCATCTGCTTGGTTTATTGATGATCTGCAATGTTACATTGTTACTCAAATTTGGGTATTAGTGCTAGATGCATTATGTTTCAATTTTTTTTCTTGAATTTTTTTCATGTGTTTGCAAGGTATTTGAAGGATTGTATTCTCATATTCATGTTAGGATATGTATCGAACATGGATGCCAGACAAAGCTATTTCAAGAAATATAAATGGTGTTGATAGTCATGCATTATTGCTATTATGATGGTGCAACCCCAACAAGCTTAAATTTGCCTCATAACTAGACTTAATTTTTTTTTGATAGGACATAACTAGACTTAATTAATCATGGTAAATCAAAGGATGAAATTTGTTATATTATTTTCAAGATAGAATTTAGATTTATGACTGAGATCAAGACAAATTAATACTGAAAAAACAACTTAGCATCGAGTAGTGCTCAATTCAACTCATGAGGATATAGTCTTATGTGTGAGTTGAAGCAAGCAAGTCTAATACATGAAATTTAGTCAAAAGAAACATTTACTCCAACTGTTGGTTCCAGCATCTTCCTCTACGCACTCACCAAGTGAACCGTATGCATCCCTATTTTTAATCAAGCTTTGGGTTTATATCTCTCTTTAGAGTTTCTGTTGATAAAGCTTTTGAAGTCATAAACTTACAACTAATAGCTCTATTGTCCTCACATATCTACACTTCTATTATTTTAAACAGATAACTTTTCGACATTTAAATCACTTACAAGTTACAACACTTTTCACAGCAATGCCAACCACTTGTTAAATTTCAAAACCATATTTTTCTATCACACTTGTTCCAACTCAAAACTTCTACAAAATCAAATTTCTTTTCAACAACAATGCTAAACTGACCTTAAGTTGTTGCACAATTTGTCCAATTCCAATCAACTACAATTCATATTCTAACTTCAATTTCAGTAGTTTCCTCGACTCAAATCAGCTAGACTAAGGTCCAAAAGATTTGCCCCCTGCTAAAAAACTAGAACTGAATCTATTTCCATAATTATTAGAAATCTCCTAATCAAAAAAGGAAAAATAGAACTTTTAAAACCATGTCTGCCCAACTTATCGACTCTATATCCTCATTGTTGACTTGACTTGCTAGCACAACAACTCATTCATAACAGAAAATAAAATCCAGCAAAAGTCCTGATCTAACTTGTACCATAAAGAGATATAGATTGAAGCAACCATTTCCCAGAATGCATATTCCAAGAAAGTCCTAAAGTAAAACAGGTAAATCAGAATCAAGTATGGACCTCCAAATGTTGTGAACCACAAAAAAATCCAAGAAGCTAAACCATCTGTTGCTACTAACTTTCCAACTAGAACAAAGGACTCTATACGCAGATGCTGCACATGATGCATATTGTTTAACATATAAGAGTAGTTCTGCTTGACATAAAACTTACTGGACATAACTTACTGACTAGACATTTCAATTTCATTTGGAACACATTCTGGAGTACCTGAAACCTTCTGTTGGAAAGCTCTTTAAGAAGTTTAACTTCATTCTCAGCATCAACCAATTTGTTATTCAGAAAAGAAACTGCATCCTTGTGGGCATCAAATTTCCTATCCACCCAGCTTCAAAACCCTTAATCTTATTCTCAATTAACAGTCTATTAAGCTCTCTCTTCTTCTTGTTTCAGTTGCTGCTTTTCTATTTCCCTAGCGCTCAGAACTAATCCCCAGACCCACTAACATCCTTGTAAAGTGGCTCATCAGGCAGGGAATAACATGCTCGATATTCCGCAAAAGCTCTGTTTGTTTCCTTCAAAGCCTTTCTGTATCCATTTAATAGATTTTCCATCAAATAGAGCTCCCGCTCTAGCCTATAAACCTCCATCTGCCTCTTCTGCTGTTCTTCAAACTTGGCCTTTTGCAAATGCTCGATAACGCTATCCCTTCGTTGCAGCTCATGGAGCATCACTTGTTGGTGCATACTGGAATCTCCACAAGCTTGTCTTTTGCAGCATACAACATTCTAGCTTTCTCCATCAGATGCTGCATTTGACCATGCACATATCAAATTCAGATGACTTATCCCATTGCCATCAATTCAACCTCTTATTGTTTACTTCAAAGAATTATGGGAAATATCATTTCGTCATCAGCCTCTCTTGTTAGCATTACGAGAAAGGACGAGACAGCGGGAACTGTCTGCGCATTGACCCTAGAGACAAGAAATTCTCTGAGAATTATCGTGAATGTGCAACCAGTTGCAAAAGGGAGATCGGCAGTTTCCATTCCTTCAAGAAGATTTGTTGGATCCAAATTGTCACCTTTTGGTGAAATAGGAAAGCCTTCTCCATGGTTGTCCTCATACTCATCTTGTTCTTCATCCTGCTCTTCTTGTTCATCTGTGTTCATACTGCTCCTCTTGTTCTTCATGCTGCTCCTCTTGTTCATCTTGTTCTTCATGCTGCTCCTCTTGTTCATCTTGTTCATCCTGCTCCTCTTCTTTTCCTCCCTCCTCTCCTCTGCCATCTCTACTTCCTCTCCTTTTTCGTGTTCTTGACATCCTCATCCACAACAACAGCCTCGTTTCCAACACCATCCTTACTAATCAAATTATCCTGGCCACCAGCCTCCTTTCGAACACCTTCCTTATTCATCAAATTATTCTGCCCACCAAGACTCAACTCAATATTATGCTCCTCCAACTGTGATTCCCCGTGAGATTCATTAACCAAATCATCAATCATCTTGAAACCCCAGGAATATTATGTTCTTCCTCTTCCTCATTAGCGTCATAAACCTCCTGTTCTGGTTTCTCCAGCAGCAGCTCTTCCTTCTGAATTTTATCAAACATTGCATATGCGAGGCATAGTAACAATTCTTTAAATTAGGAGCGGCCGTGAGCTTTTCCACCATAAACCAAACCATACCAGCCCAATCTACCTTCTCAAAATGTCCTTCTTTTATCATTTTGGTCCAGTTCAATACCTCCAGTGGCATCATCCACGTATCCTCGTGCAAAAGCACCCAATTTGACACCAATTCCTCAAGAAAGTCTACCGATTCCTTTGACTCTTCAATATCAACGGTGCTATCCCTATCCTTCTTCACAGACAACTTCAAAGCACGGGCTAAGTCGGCCCGGTTGACCCCAATGCGCCACCCATTAACGTAGCTACCACGATATTGCGAGTTGTAAGTAGCTATTAACTGCGCGATCAGATCGACTCGAAGTTCTCTGTCGAATTCCAAATGAACAAAATCCCACAACCCGAGTCGCTTCATGAGCTTTTCGTGCGACGAAAAATCTAGGGTTTTGTTGGGGACAAACGGAATGGCTTTAGGACTTCACTCAGTATCTCCAGTTTCTTCTGAGCCTTCTTCTCCTGAAGGCGTCGTTTCGTGGCCGCCTTCTTCCGTTTAGGACCCCCGCCACGGCGAAAACCAGTGGGGGTGGTGACTTGGATGTCAGCGTTGGGTGGAGATGAAGGAACAGACAAATCTGGGTCGTCTGCGTTAGCTTCCTCTCCGTTTCGATCTTCTTGATCATCGGGTTTGTCCTGGGTTGAAGGGTTTCTGGATCTAAGGCTTTAGGCGATTCCTGTGGCGTTAGGGTTTTCGTTGGGGTCTGGTTGAGGTTGATCTGGAATCACTGGGGGAGGCCATGGGGATGGAGGTGAAATTTTGTTTGGGAAAGAGTGTTGTTAATCAAAATTCTGATAAGAGAAACACAATTGGGGGAATCAGAACTCAGAGTACACGAGACGGGACACAGTATTTACAATTTCGTCACTAAAGCTTTTACAGCTCCTTAATTTTGTGGGTATCAACTAAAAGGATTTGAAGAAAAAAAAAGGAAGATTAAAAAAATTAAGATTGTTTTTGTTATAGTTTAATATAAAAATAAGTGTTTAAATTAAATTTTAAATTAATTTTAAATATTTAAAGTTTTTTAAATTAAAATAATTATTTAATATTTTTTCTGTTATATTTTTAAATTTATTATTTATCTTAAATTTAATTAATATTTAATTTATGTCATGCTTATAAAATTTAAAAATTATTTTAAAATTATAATTTATTTTAAAAAACTCTAAGGGGTCGTTTGTTTACTGTTAAATGAAATCATTCAGCGTTGTTTTTGTTATAGTTTAATATAAAAATAAGTGTTTAAAATTAAATTTTAAATTAATTTTAAATATTTAAAGTTTTTTAAATTAAATAATTATTAATCTTTTTCTGTTATATTTTAAATTTATTATTTATCTTAAATTTAATTAATATTTAATTTATGTCATGCTTATAAAATTTTAAAATTTATTTTAAAATTATAATTTATTTTTAAAAAACTCTAAGGGGTCGTTGTTTACTGTTAAATGAAATCATTCAGCGCTGAATGCAACGTGTTTGATTCTCACCTCTTAACGAAGACTATGCTGAATGAAATAGCAAAATACTGTTGATGATTCAGTATTAAAATACATTCTGAATCATTAAGCACCTATATTTACCATAATACATATTTTCTCACATGTTGTCTTATTAAACAATCATCTTATAATATAATAAATCAATATAAGGTAAAAATGAAAATTTAATAATTCAGATTGTACATTCAGAACCATTATCAAATAACAGTCACATTCAAGTCAATTTATACAAATATTTAAATTATTAAATCATTGAATCATTCAACGCTTAATCATTTTATTTATCAAACAACCTCTAAATCTCTTTTAAAAAAAACTAAAAATCTTTAATTTCAAATCTATTTTCAATCATCGTTTCGGTTATTATCTACACCGCCGTAAACTATCAACTTGTTAAAGCTTAACTATGGATCATTGTCCTTGTCGTTACTCAAAACTCTTAACTACTTAAATCCCTAAATTGTTAATTCTAAATTTAATGGGAATTTAAAAGGAAAAATTAGGACAAAAGCGGACGATAGGGAAGGGAATTCGGGAAAGGAGAGGGAAGAAAGGAATATTTTTTTTAAATGTTTTTAAAGAATATTTTTATTTTTTAAAATATAATTATGATACATGTTACATAACGTTATTAACCGACGTTATAATCTAAACATCTAAAAGCGTAATATCAGGAACGTAAGATATTTATTTTTAGTAAAAAATTCTTTAGACACCTAAAGTTAACTTAGAAACAATTGCCACTATTTTTTTTTATCAAGCTTTATGATTTTTTATTAAAATATCATTAAAGAATTATTATCTATTTAGCATCCTCTTTTAATTATTTATAAAATGATTAATTTATTAATAGAGCGCAACATAGGGCTAAGATACAATGTATTATGATATAATCTTATAATCAATAAATAAAAGAAAACATGTATATGTTGACTCTAACCAATATAATCCAAGCAATATGCTCAATTAAGACACTCTCCTCTTAAAAGCTTTAAGAAAAATCACCAACATATCTAAACTTGCTAAGTGCATGGTTAATCCAAGTCTAGATTTAAAATACTTTTGCTTTAATTTTCCATTTAGTAATCATAATTTTCAAGCTAAGGATGAATCATATAAGAATCTTTAAGGTTTTGACTGTTATGCAATTGAGATTTTATTGTGAATGAATTTTAGTATTTTGATCCTCACTACTACTAATGATCTTTTAAATAATATTGGTTTTCTTAAAATAATAATTTTAGTCTGTTTATATGCATGTTGAGTTATTTCAGGAAAAAAACACATGCTGGTTGACTTAAGAGTAGCAGTCCTTTTAAGTTTTCAATTGTTAGGTAATTAATTTTTTTTATTATGAATGAAGTTTATTATCCAAAAATGTAAGGTTAATTGATTAAGAAACACGATATATGTTAATATTATCAAAATTTGATACTATTAATGATTACTTAATTTTTATTTAAAAAATAGTTACTGATTAAAAACCATAATCGACTCAATAACTTTACTCTTTCGTAACCCCAAATCTCCCTCTCTTCGCCTTCTTTCTTCTAATTTTCCTTAGAATTCCCAACGGTAACTTTGCCACCCATCCCCTTTTCAGTATTTAACATTAATACTATCCCGTATAATTCGATACTCATTCCAGAACCATCTTACCATGTCCCCAAATCTCTTCCTTTTCTAATCCTATGTCTTGTTTTTTCGTGTCGCTGCCGCGTTCGACGGGCGGAACGGTGGTCACGGAGCTTTGGTGCGTAGCAAAGAACAACGCGGAGGACACGGCGCTGCAGGGAGCGCTCGATTGGGCGTGCAGTCAAGGCGGAGCGAACTGCAACCCGATCCAGCAAGGCGGCCCTGTTATGACCCAACTGATGTCCAGAAAACGGCGTCTTATGCCTTCAATGACTACTACTTGAAGAACGGCATGACAGACGATGCTTGCTCCTTCTCCAACAATGCCGCCCTCACTTCTTTAGACCCCAGTGAGTTATTTTTCTTTCAAATTTTGGTCATTAGTGATTTCATAGTCACCATTAAACCCTTTCATTTGTACATGTATATTTTGTTCAGGCTATGGCAATTGCAAGTTCCCTTCCAGGTAATGCTTTTTTCCCGGTGAATTGCAAAATTGATGGGTTCTTTCCGGATACTGATTCGATTGATATTGAAATGCAGCAAGACAGTGAACAATGCAAGCATTTCTGAGTCAACTGGAACACTGGGGGTGGGGCCGGATTCTGCCGATCTGAGTGCTTCTCATCGCATTGCTCAATCATGGCTGTTTCTTGCTCTTTCTTTCATTCATTTTATTACTGTAGGGCTTCACACTAAATTAGTGTGAAAATGAAGTTTTAGTTTAGAATTTTTGAAGCAGAAAAGGCAAATGCTAAGCGGAGGACAAGTTGTATTTATCTTAACTTTTGGTTGATGTTTCATTTTGTCTACTTATTTCAATCCTTGCTAGTGTTTCCAGCTTTGCTCCAATGACTTAGTTGGACTGTTTTGTATAGACAAGTACGAACATTCTTTTCCAATTTTTGTGTTTGTGTACTGTATTGATTACTTTGTTTCAATTTCTTTAATTTCGATTTCCAACTATGACTCAAATTATATACCATTTGCCAAAAATCCACTCCACTTTCTGCAAAATCACGAGCACAAACGAACCTTGCAAAGGAGCAAATTCTCACTACAAATTCAAGTATATTCCAAATTATTTGAATATTTGGATTCCTGCTTGAAGTTAAACTACAATCCAATAATACTAAATTCATAATCGACTAATTGCTGGAGATGAAGCTGCTGCTTATGAAGATGAAAAGAGCCCAACTGCCAAGATAAGCAATCACCAGTAATAAATCAGTTTTTCGCAGATTATGTCATGCAAGCAATATGACAATTACAACGCCATTTTCCGTATAACATGAATCCTGAATCTCCACCACTTATAAATAACTACATTCCCTAAAACTATTAGCTTCACCAGCATTAGCAGATGTTAGTACAGTTGCTACACGATAAAAAAAACAAATTCTCCTAAGCATTTGACACATCTACCCATATATACAAGATAGTAGACCTAATGCACTTCAAAAAATCATAAACAGAATCTGCAAAGCTTCATGATCGAAATGGATCAGCACCCTACTCTAAATTCTTAGCCCACTGCAAAGCATGGAAG